CTAGGATGGATTTTTTTTCTTTCCACTGAAAGCAGAGCCGGACAGAGTTTTGGGCTGATGCCCAACCAACTTAACACCCCCCACCCCGAGCCCTGTGCTGACGAGCTTTTAATTGAGCAGAAAACGAGGCATAGAGAGGAAAGCGCATTGACCCAAGGGTCCCTAGAAAATCTGGGGACAAAGCTGGACTAACACCCGGGCGCTACCCCACAGCATCACGCTGGAGCAGGAGCCGCCAGGCTCTGTTTCACACCTGCCATGCAAGCTGCAGACTTAGCCCAGCCACAGCTGAGCCTCCAAGGGGCATTTCTTCCGCAGAGCCCTCAGCGCCACCCAACACGGGCATCGTCGCTCCTGCCCAGCAAACGAAGCACAGGGAGAGGCAAGGGGATATGACCGTGGCCGGGTGGGAAGTCAGTGGCAGGGACAAGGGCAAACACGCTCCCAAACACGCTCCCCAGCCTGCTGACAGACTGCTGCAGAAGGATTAAATCAGGAATGATGCGAGTGAAATTGAGCCCAAACAGCCACTAGGCAAATGAGTGAGTGCCAGCTGTGTTTAACTAGCATTAAAAATAAATAAATAATGGTTATCGAGACACTTCCCCCTAGAAGCATTAAAATAATAGGGCAGAAGCTGCTGCATGTGGGACAGTAGCTCTCTAGCAGATGATTTGCTGCATAGCTATTTTTGCTTAGCTGTGATTAACCAATCTTGCCAGGAAAAAAAAAAAAAAAAAAAGAACCCCACATAGCCTAGACAAAGATCTGGGCTGGGGAAACTGAATTCAGCTTCTCATTAAGGACGCAGGGCAACATTCCCATCCTTCCCCGAGAAGCTGATGTGCAGAACAAGCTCCTGCCTTGCAGGTTGCAAAGCTCCGACGCCAAGGCACTGAGCAAGCGGGGAGGAAAGGGTCCCCCCCTCCTGCTGCTCCCTGAAGGCTTAGCCTCCTGCCGACTGTCTGTCTCAGCTGTTTGTGCAAGTGCCGTCCCGCAATGATGCTGTAGCGGTGCCGCGGGGCGGATGCAGGAGCATGCTCACTCCATCACGCATCCATCGGATCATGGTCGGTGAAGGCTCGGGCTGGCTGGGGCCCGAGAGAAGGTGCTTATAGAGGGAAACCGGGCAGCAGGCTGGCAGCAGAAAGCAAAATGGTGGTACCTGACCCTTAGAAAACCTGCTTCATTCAGAAAATTTGGCATCTGGGGCTAGCTGCATTTGGGAAGGAAGATTGACACGGGAGACTGGGAGGGAACGGTTCAAGCATCCTCTGGGAAGGTAAGAAAGACCTTTTCTTCACCTCTGGCTTTTGAATTGCTTTTCTTAAATGAATCCCAGCATCAGAGAGCGGAGTGCCTGACTGCAGCACGTACCCTGGTACAGCTGGGCCTTCCCCCCCTCCCCTTTTGACACTGTCTCACCGAGTTGTGCCAGGCACCAGCTCAGAGTCAGAAAAACAACCAGCCGGGCCTCGTCCGAGACAAAAGCAAAGAGGAGAGGAGAAGCTGGAAGGGGGGCAGAGGGATCTTTCTGACTGCTCAGGGATATTGTGGCAGCCCACAGGGTCCGGGTGCCGCACAAGCGAGCAAGGAGCAAGCGTCTTTGATCAGGTCTCCAGCTCTCATAAAAATACAACAGCCAGCTAGGAGAGGATTATCCCTTAATCTAAATATTTATAGGGTTTAATTTGGCTGGTGGCTCTGGTGTCACGGCAGCATGAAGAGGAGCCTTTGTAGGGCAGCGCTAGGCTGCATCCTGCAGACTCAGAGGTATCGGTCCCCACCATCCCCCTCCCTGCCGTCGCTGGACACCAGCCCTGCGCACAGTCCCATCCCCCTTCTCACAGCACAGCCTTAAAACTGGTGGGTTTCCCCCACATTTCCCCCCAGGGCTGTCCCAGCACCCAGGATTTTACACCTGGAGACGTGATTTCTTCCCCCTATTGAGAGGGAGCTTCCAGCAAGGGGCGGGTGAAATGAGCACGGCTCAGAAGGTCCCTTTGAAACAGACCTTCAACATCAAGAACTTGTCATGGGCTTGGTGGGGTTTGGTCATGCTGCACAAGAAGTTTCAAACCCAGCTAATGCCAAGGGACAGGCACAAATCCCAGCTCGACTTAAGGGGGAAAAGCGTCCAGAAAGCAGCTCAGGGTGGGCGGTGTGCTGCTCAGCCACCAGCGAGGGTCCCTCACCGCAGTCCTGGGGACGCTGACTTCACTGACCCCCAAATGGGTCAGGAGCAACTCCAGCAACTTCCAAAGGGCAACAGCCACACTATGAGATTTGGCATTAGCATCTGTTCGGGAAAGTCAACTTTTAAATCAATTGATGCTTCTAGCCTCCGGCTGGAGGCACGGTGATTTATACCAGGAGGGCGCAGGAGCCAAGCATGAGAAGCTGCAAATCCTGACCTCTGCCGTGGAGCCCCAGGAAAGGAGCAGTGGGTCAGCCTTTGGCTCCAAAATACGGGTTTGAGTGCTGGTGCCTGGATATTAGCTCAGAATGAACCTGCTTCCAGACCTCAGCAGGGTTTGGGTATTGCTGTCAGCTTTTGTCAAACAGAGGTTGAGGTAAGGATGGGGTGACGATTCTGGGATCACACCTAAGGTTTGATCCTTGCCTCGAACACCAGCTGCCTTAGAGCAAAGTCACTACAGACCAAGGAGGCAGCTGCCTCCCGGGAGAGGTGGTTGTGGCGGGCGCTTATGGATAAAGATTTGCTCCGCTGCAGCCAGGGCCTGTGGCAAAAGGCAACTGCAGAAGATGCTCCCTGGTACCCTTGATGAGGAGCCCTAGAGCTTGGCACTGCCTCTCAAACTTCTGACGGAGGTAAAGAGGGGGATAATATGGAGAAAGCAAGGATGCTACCAGGGTCTTCTGGGGATAGGATTTGTTCCCGTGTCCCTAGATGGATTTTCCAGCCTCTTGGCTGAACGGCAGTATGAGGGATGTATTTGGGGGGGGGGGGGTAAATGCAGGGAGTGTTTGGAGGTTACTAGGGATTGCACAGTGCTCCACTAAGAAAGCACAGCTGCTGGGATGCTCACAGGCAAAAGGAAAAGGGCAGAGCACACATGGGGTTGTATGTTTTTCCCTGATGTCCCCAGTTCTCTCCACTGTCTGCCATGGAGTGACTGTGTCCTAAACATCACCTGTTGTCTCCTGTCTTTTTACCTCCGCACCTCGGCTTGCCTGCAGACCTCTCCCAGAAGAGACAGGGATGGAGTCACTGGGCAGCCCTACAGAAGACGAGAATACATCCTGTAAGTACCAGCCTGCCTTCTCAGGAGTTCAAAGGAAAACAAGGCTATGGGAATGGCAGCTTGCAGTTAGGGCAAAAGCCAGTTCCCTTGGAGTATCCGCAAAAAATTCCCATGTGGGAGAGGAAACCAGCAGAGATCTGAATTTGCTAATCTTTCACAAGAAGCTGGGGGGAGGAAATAGGTGTCTCAGAAGCGTGGGGACTTTTATCCAGCCATACCTGCTGATCATACGTCCCAGCTATGATCCACCACCCTTGTGGACTCCCAAGACCATAGCCTGAAATATGCATAATGAAAGCACCATGTCTTGCACTCAGGATACAGAACAAGGACAACCTGTCAGTTATTTTCCTTTTAACTCCAGCTCCCCCAAATACGTTAAACTTTAATGGGGCGCATCGTAAGCGGAAGACACTTGTTGCACCTGAAATCAACATTTCCCTGGACCAGAGTGAAGGCTCCATTCTCTCCGATGACTTCCTGGACACACCAGATGACCTGGACATTAACGTGGACGATATCGAAACCCCTGACGAGACAGATTCCCTCGAATTCCTGGGGAACGGGAACGAGCTGGAATGGGAAGGTAAAAGGCGGTATGGGGTGGATGTCTGCAGGGGTTGTGGCTTTTTTTAGCCTCATTCTAACCACTTTTGACACCACTCACCATCAGCAGCTGAGAACAGACTTCCTCAGCAGTGAAGCACAGCACACACAACCAAGCCTCATCTTCCAGACAACATCTGCCCCACCAGGACCCCAGCCAGAGCCCAGAAGCCTCAGTGCTGTTATCTCAGCACTTCCATCTGGGGATAGCGTGGGCAGAAGTAGTTCAGGGACTTGCAAACACCAGTCTAGCCAAAATTCAGGGTAAGGCATAAGGCTGTGGACACACATGCCCTTCCTGCTGCAGCTGGGCCACCAGGCCAGGCTGGAAGGTGCTGCATACCAGGCTCTGCCAGTAGAGCTGTCACATGAACGTTCAAACATCTTGAATAACGTGGGCTTGGCTAACCTGGCTGATTTGGGGTCAGGCTAAGGAGTACTTGTGCAAGCAGCTCTGCTAGCAGATGAGAAGACAACCCCTCTGGCACAGGCAGTGCCCTCTTCAGCCAGTATAGGTGGATCTGAAGGAAGATCCAGCAAAAAGTCCAGTGCCTGACCTGCGACTGCAGGTTCTATAAGCAAGATGAGATGTTAAGTTTATTTCTATTACAATTTGGCAATGGAGCAAGATTATCAAGAACCACAAACTTACACAGATCAAAGTTGCAGATGAAACAGGTCATCCTCAGTCTGTGGTTGTTACTGTCTCTTACTGCACACCAAAGCTCTCACAGAGCCTCTTTATACGTTAATATTAAAGGCAGAAGTGTTTGTCCCTTTTCCAGATGACACTCCTGTAGCCACAGCCAAGAACATGCCTGGGGACAGTGCAGACCTGTTTGGGGATGGTGGGACAGAAGATGGGAGTGCTACTAACGGACGGCTCTGGAGGACTGTCATCATCGGAGAGCAGGAGCACCGCATCGACCTCCAGATGATCAAACCCTACATGAGAGTGGTGACACACGGAGGTGAGGGAGAGGGCAGACTAATCCTGGCTTGGTGGATTTCTTTCAGTCCATCTTTGTCAAGGTGGAGCGGATGCCATGACTGATCGTTTTGACTGTCTTTAAGGAAAAATTGCTATCTGCTTTGTACCACTACATGGCAGATAAGCACAAAAGCACCCAGCTCATGCTAAAAAACATATAGCCACTGCAGCAATGTTTCGGTAAACAAGGTAGAGATAACACCAGCTCTGAGCGAGACAGAGTATATACCCCAACCCTCAGCCCTGGGTGCGGGTAGCATCACCGGTGATGGAGTGCAGATATCTCTGGAGGCACAGGTCAAGGTCGTTACATCCACAGTTAGTGGCCATTTCTGAAATCTGAACAAAGCCAGGCAGCAACCGAGGGCAAAGCCCTCAGCTCTGTGCTCTGACACACACACATTCCTTCCTTGAACCCCACATGCACATTATAGCCAAAACCAGGATCAGAGGCACATCTGACCTTGAAAGAGGTCAGTAAGAGACACAAACATTTAGCCAGAGCTGAAGAGAGGCACAAAAAGCAGCACAGGCTCACATTTGGCAATACATCTTCACTGCTATTTTTCCTTCAACTCTTGCATCTCCCCCCCGGAAAGAATCGTTGATACTACCTGTGTCTTTCTTTCCCAGGATACTATGGAGAAGGTCTCAATGCCATCATTGTCTTCGCTGCCTGCTACCTCCCGGACAGTAACCTGGCTGATTACCACTACATCATGGAGAATCTCTTCTTGTAAGTGGCTGGTCAAGGTCTATGAGGGAGAGGAGGGCAAGGAAGGTTACTCAGGCTCTGGGGAAACAGTTTCCCTGTATTCATTGCATCAGGAACCTCAGGTGGAAATAGCTTGAATCCAGGCCAAATGTACCCAGTCTGCAGCTGCAGACTGGAGCGAGCATCACTGGGTGAGACACTGCCCACAGCATTCGCATCCAAGTCCAGTAAGTCAAAGCATTCAAACACTCAGTGTTAATTATGCCAGTGATGGACTCACAACCAGGCTAGGACATACGTATACAATGCTGAACAGCTGGGAGATGCTGCTGCCAGGCAGAAGAATGGCACAGGGATGTCCATCATTGTATGCGCTATGCTAACATGTACCAGTGACCCCTTACCCCTGGGCTTCCTGCGGAGGTGCCAGGAGAATCTGAAACCTATCCCAAGAAAGGGTCTGGAGGCCTTTTGGGATGCACACAGGCACTTGAAGAAACCTCAAGGGACCTTTTTTGAGTCTGATGTCCCCATTGCTTTTGATCACCACCTGACAGATACGTGATCAGTAGTCTGGAGCTGCTGGTGGCTGAGGACTATATGATTGTGTACCTAAATGGAGCAACGCCCCGGAGGAGGATGCCAGGCCTTGGCTGGCTCAAGAAATGCTATCAGATGATAGACAGAAGGTGAGAAGCCTGCTGGTGTCTTCATCCTTCCCTGTCCTCTTCCCACATCTCTTCCTTGCAGCCTTCCCCAGCCACCCCTCCTTCCTCACTCTTCAGATTCTGTAATTCCTTCCTCTATCACAGCTTTCTTGACTTACTCCAGGCTCTCTTCATCTCCTCTTTTCCCTCACAAACACCTTCCTAAAGATCAGGCTAACACAGGACCCAAGCCTGCCAGGTCTGAGCTTAAATAGGGTTCCTAAGGCCATGGGCAGGGCTTTTGTCTGGAGACACCCAGCTGAGGCTGGTGAGCATCATAATGCTTATTAGTGCCCTAACATGTTACAGATGACTTTAAGAAAAGGTATTTTGAATGTGACTTTCTGTTCCATGGCTTTTCCACAGGCTGCGTAAGAACCTCAAAGCATTGATAATCGTGCATCCTTCATGGTTCATCCGGACAGTGCTGGCTATATCCAGACCCTTCATCAGGTAAATATAACATGTTCCCAAGCTCAGCTGGTTTTGGAGTGGAAATTTAATCTCCTGAATCAGATCTTAAGCTCACCTTTAACTAGTAGTGACCAAGGTAGGTGAAGCTGTTTGTCCTACAGCTCTCTGATACTTCCAAGGACAACTCTAGGGGTGGTTTTAGGAGACACTGTGGTGGTCTGGATCCAGACCAAAGTTTGTCCCAGTGGGTAGCACATAAAGATTTACTGGGAAGCGCAGGAATGGTGGTCCTTTTTTTCTTTCCTACAGATATTGAGAGGTGGGGTCAAAGTGAGGTACAGTAATGTGACATCTCACCACAATTTTTAGTCACCAGCATATTAGCGCTGGGAGGAGATGGGTACACTCAGACTACAGAGGATACAGAGATGCAGAACTCCCCATTTCCATCAGGAAAATTCTGACTTCCTATGGAGAGAACATCAAAACAAGCCCTCAAGCACGTGCTCTCTCTCTCTCTTTGCCAGTGTAAAGTTTATCAATAAGATCCAGTATGTTCACAGCCTGGAGGAACTGGAGCAACTTATCCCAATGGAGCACGTACAGATTCCAGACTGCGTCTTACAGTGAGTATCAGAGGGACCCTGGGGCACGCGTAGCTCTGAGGAGGCCCAGGACAAAAATCCTGCGTAGCGGGATATTGTGTTGAGTCAAAACCCACGTACTGGAAACACAGAGCCTCGGGCAAACCTTATCTCACTCGTACCCTGGTGCCAAGCAAGAGCCCGCACGCTGCGCTAGTCTGCAGTTTCTGTCGCCTTCAGAGCGATCACTGCATTTTACTAAAAGCAAACGGTCCCAACTGAGTAACATTTAAAGAACATCTCCTGTTTGTTGCAGATATGAAGAAGAGAGGATCAAGGCCAGAAAAGAAAGGTAAAATTAATTTCAAGGGGGAATGGAGGGTGGGTTCATTTTCTCAGGATGTTGCTGCACTTTTGCTTTCTCTCGTCATTATTTCTGTTATAACCAGTCAATTCTGTGTTCATCTTATCCTGATAGCCCACACAGCCTATGCTTATTTTCTACTGATTCTCTTAAAATAAGCGAAAGCTGCAGGAGGGAGGAGAAGCTTGATTGCAAGTTTATTTGTCCATAGAACTGTTCCTATTAACCCCACAAGTGCACACATCCTGAACGTGCACTGTATGTGCTCACAAAGATCATCCGAAATCACTCCATGTATAAAGATGGCACGATTTTCCCCGTGTGACCATACAAACTGACCTTAAAGTGGAAGCTAGTGCTTATTTTAAAAGCCACATCATTCTGCTAGAGTGGCACAAAGAGGACCATTAGTTTACAGGTTGGTTTGGTTCATTTTCTAGACCCGTTCTATCACTGGTGATTTAGGTCAGAAGCGCTGGCCATAAACAGTGATAACAGTCAGCTCCGCTAAAAGCAAAAGGCAATCGTGGACAAAGGGAAGCCCAGCTGGGTCAACACGAGAGCGACGTGCTGTAATAACACCTCCTCGTGCACGTGAACGGAATGGGAGATGCCGGTTTGAGAGGCTTCAGTTCAGCGTTGGCTGCTGAAACGCAAGTTGCCCAGCCCAAATTAAGCAGCTACCTCCCTCTAGGGCATCCTGCAAGCATTAGGATTATCAGGGTTGCATATCACGGGGACTAATAGTCATTTTTGATCAGACCTGTAACCTCTGAGGTCCAGCTATCTCTCTAGAAAAGCCTTAGATACTCTTATCTTTCACACTGCCTGCTCCTGGATGATAGATTTCAAATGCAATTTGTGTTTACAGGGCAGAAGAGAAACAAGACATGGCTGAGAAGGAAAGGTAACTATTCTTTCTTATTTATCCTTTGCTTATAAGATAACTTAATCAGTCTTTGGTGCGGAGAATGGCCCTATTGCTTGGTAGCACCCCCTGGGGAGCCAGGCTCTGCACTCTCAGGAGATGTTTGGACCCAAGAGGACATTTCTCAAGTGTCTGGGAACTGATAAAGCCTCTCCTTTCCCTAACAGCTCCCTGTGCCGTCGCTTTTGTGACGTTACTGACCGTCACCTATAGCAATGGATTCCTGATGCTGTCAAGCTAGTGGCCCCATGGTCATGGACCAGAGCCAGAGGCACCAGGGAACGTTCTCCTGACATTCAGTTGCAGCATTTGCACGCTGGCGCAATGCAGGGGGACAAATACTGCGGTCAGGCACATCTTGGGTGTGCATAAAGGCAAGATGCGAGGCTGTAACATTAGATGGGAAGGAAAATTCTAGGGAGGTTTGGAAGACAGTGCAACATCCTATGCCAGGATAATTTGGCCTGGTTTTGGCTCTGCTTCAGAGTGACATAGCCTCTTTTTTTTTTTTTTTTTTTTTTTTTATTCTATCTAACTAGCTCCTGAGGGGGAACAGTGCATATTTCTGCTATTCTCTTCCCAGAGCAGAAGGAGCTTTGATCAAAATTCCCAAGGTCCATTGGATGAGTCTGAATTGTTCCAAGAAACAAATGGAACTTCAGGGCCAAAAGGATGATTAGTTTGTGGTGGAGATTCACTTATTGTTTTGCTGGTTCTCTTCCAAGCAGGCCTGTGCCCCCAGCAGAGGATCAAGAAACCAGGTTTGATTTGTACCTCGCTCTTGCGTGTGTCTCTCTCTGTGCGACGGATTTCATTGCGTTTGTAAATCCACTAACGGGAAAGGCAAGACTGGGTTAGACCCAGGACCTCTTTAGCCCAGCGCCACTCACCAACACGAAAGAGGCATCAGCCAATCTGCAGCAGCGGGGTACAGAACCGGGAGGCTGCTGACGCCCTCACCCCACCGCGGACCGTTCACAACTGCAGCTGCTACGGAGGCACCTGCAAAAAGCTGCGCCTCTCTAAATTCCCTGGCATTTGCCGTATGGTAAAGGTGTGCACATGGGCGTTTACTGCAGGGCTGCCTGCTTTACCCTACCGGGACTTTTTCACGGTCCTATGCACTCGGGAAAAATCCTTAGAGAAGAAGAAAGCCCGTTAACGCTGGGAATGACATCATTATCTTTGGCCCTGATACACTTTTGTAGAGGATTACACCCAAACACACTCATATTTTTTGACACAGTGGGAATAACAACATTTATACTTTGCTTTCTAAAAATAACTCTGTCTTTCTGTTCCTTCCCAGCATGTCATGAATCGAAGTAGAGTGGAATGAATGGAGCAGAAGAATGATGCAGCCTGGCAGTCACCCACGTAAATGACCTTTTGGTGTAAGACCTTGCCGCCATCTTATTCCGAGTTCTGTAAGATCACGGAGCCTGCCTCCCCTGTCTCCAAGATGCAAAGTCCTTTAAACATTTTGGAAACATTTTACTTAAAAAAACCCAAAAAAACCCCACAACCAACCAAACAAAAAGCCACCACAAAACAAAACAAGCCAAGAATAGCACTTTTCAGGACAGGTTCCAGTGTGTTTCAATAATGGTCTGTGGAGAGCTTTTAAGTAGTGCAAATAGATGCCATGTTTCCTCTTAGTAAGTTAAGAGCTTTGTAGTCCATTAGTCACCAGCCCAGAAAGAGATATATTTTTTGTTTAAATTATAAACCCTTCCCCTAACTTGCTGCTGGCCAGCACTGCGACATTTTGCTTTAAACCGCACACCCAGTTTCTCTCATACAGACACTACGACAGCCATTGCCCCAGGGAATAACTAATACAGGCAATGAAAAGAGCGCATTTTCGTCCTTTCTATAGCCAGTGTATGTTTTTTCCTGAAAATACCAAGTGCCCACCGGCCTAGGCACCTCTTCCAGCCTTGACTGCCTCAGTTATTTCATTGCCAGTTCCTCTTATTAACTCACACCGAACCGTTCCTATGAGTAAACGCCATGGGTTTTTTTTCCTGATTTGTTCTGTCTCGGTTTGTAAGGCACTCTGATAACTTTGAAAGAGAGTTCCATGCGGCATGGCAGCCTCCACAGAACCTTCTTGTGAGCATCTTCTCATAGCAACGCACACACACCAAAAAGGTCTGGTTTTAAGAAGGAGCCTTACGGACGGGAAAGTTTTTCACGCCTTGTCTTTGTATTGATTTCATGACACTGGACAATCATTCACTATTAATACCTCCTGTCGCGGAGACAAGCTGCTAAACGTTTGACATTTCCTACTCGCTGTCCCTGGGCAATGAAGGTCTCATCTGTAATCATACCTGGAGGTGGAGGATGCTGCAGATGTGGAGGCAGGACACCATGTCCGAGTTCAGCTCCTCAGTTAGCCGAGGGATGCAGACGTGATATTGAAACTCTGAAATTCGTATTTTGGATTCATGAGGATTCTGTGAGCAAAGGAGGGAAGAAAATTTAAGAAATGAATCTGGCCAAAATCATTTGGGAACTCCTCGTTTCACCAGGCCAGCTTACATAAACTGTCTCAAATGCATCAGGTAAAGCCCCTTGCAGACAACTGCAGGTGAAGAGTTGCTGGCGTATCTCACCACTGAAGGAATATTTCAAACCTGGCAACCCTAGCCCACGGCTATTTGAAATCGCCACCGCTTCGCTGGGCTCTGAAATCCCCTGGAGGACAATTCTGGCAAAGCAAGATTTTCCTCAAGACAGGGACATCTCTGTATACGTAACGCTTCTCTTTTTTTTTTTCCTTTCAGTGAAGGAAACTGCTACAGATGAGATCTTTATTTCCCTGAACGCTACAAGGGAGCACCAAATATGCTTTCTAACGTTACTTCTCATTTGGTATATGCTTTTCTCGTGCACTTCTGTCATGGATGTATTTACTGATTTACCGAACAGACCTTTGCATGAAACACAGAGCACTGTATCCACAGAAGCACCAACCTCCATGGCTTTCTAGAAATTTCATTACGAGTCAGCTATTGACAAAGTGAATTCTACGCTACAAGGGACAAACGGCACTTCAGGTTTTCTGGAGTTGAGGTTTTATGCCAATAACACCTCTCCGCAAAAGGCGTTCTGTCCTGAGCTTTCCAAACAGCCAGCAGACATCTGTTTCAAGGCAGAAGCGGCAGTCAGAAATTTTCAAACATTAATGCGTTAACCCGATGTGCAACGCTGGGCATCCTTTTTCACACACCGTCTGTCGGATGGACAAAAGGAACGCACTGAAATTAAGAAAGGACTCTTCTGACGAAATTAATTTTAGCTCAGACTATAAACAATCACAAATCTCCCTGTAGTGTTAGAATTCACTGTCTCCCACCGATACTACTTAAACCTAGATTTTCCTTTTTTCTTTTGAGACCAGTTTTGTGCGTTTAGATAAAAAAATCATCTGCTATGCTTTCCACAAAAGAATGCAATGCGGTTGGACACCGAAAGGCAAGTTTACAATTATATAATGAACAAAATTGAGAGAATGTTTAATAATGTTTAAAAGTACAACTCTAGAAACCTTTTATGCCTCTGTAGTTGCTAAACGGTTCAGTGAAAAATGTTCACAACATCATGGGAAATACTGCTGTTATGGAACACCTGGGCACGGAAGATAAGAAACCTCGAAAATGTTGTCTCGGGACCTGAAGAAATGGATTCCTCCTCGGTCCTCAGCAGTAACCATACCAGAAGAATGTTTTTCGGTTGGTTTGTTGTTGGGGTTTTGTTCTCCAAAGAAGACGCTCTGTCTATGTTTTCAGAAAGAACTACAGAATGAGGCAACCTGAAGATGAAACTTCGTATTTTTTCAAGTAATTCCTTCAGGGCGAGGTTAAGAGTTCAGCTGTGAAAAGGGCAGATTACCAGTTTCATTTCAAGATAGGAAGTTGTTTGTTTGAATACAAAAGTCAATTTGTAACTTCTTCGAAACAATTTTTCAAAAAGTGCACTTTCTGATAGAGCACTCTAAGTAGTATGCACTATATTTTAATTTTTAACAAAATTTTATGAGTGTAACATAAATTTTATGTTCATGGATGGATGGATGGATGGATGTCTATATGTCTTTTCAACATAGAAAAGAACCTGCAACCCATAATGGAGAACTATAGCTAAATGTAAATGTGCATTTTTATAGCAACAACAGCAAAGTATCATTGACTTCTTTCAGTTATTTTTAGATGCTACTTGAAACCAAAGTAGCTACAAATTCTTTGACAGAAACACGGAACCAATCGAGCTGGCAACGTCCCTTCACCAAATACGGAGCAACGTACCTAAGTTGGATGGGAACAGACCTGCACGGGCTTCAAACAAAATCAGATCCACGTGCCGTAACAAACACACCACCAAATATGCTGCATTCGTCGTTAGAAGATCTTTAGAAATTTGGATCCTCCTCGCAGCGGAGGCGAGAGATTGCCAGAGGCTCTCAAGGAAGCTGATGAAAGTTTCGGAGGCTGCAGACAGAATATAATCGCTTTGGCGGGGAGTTGTCAACCAGTGGCTTAAACCCGAGGACTTGCCTCGCACAAAAGTCAAGCGGTGACAATAGATGAAATGGAAATCTGAGGTGGCCGAAGCCATTTTACATATTTCTTTGCCAGTTCCTTAAAGAGGGCTGCTCGCGAAGCCTGTTTGCAAAAGGGTTTACCCACCGAGCTCTACGTTTCCACTGGAGATGCAGATTACAACAGAAATACGCTATACCGGGGAAAAAAATATGTTGCTAGTAAAAGTGCATTTACATTAGGACTTCTGCCAGTATATATAGATATGTTTAAAAAATAAAACGAAATAAACTACATCATTTTAGCAATACTGCTATACTGGTCAATGTTCCAAATGTACGCCAGGCCTTGTTTCAGCCTCATAAAAACATCTCCAAAGGATAAATATTTTGACTTCTGAATGCACTGTATTATATCAAACAGCAGGTATTGCCAACAACATTTTTCTAATCTTGGATTCTACCTTTCATGAGATTTTCTAATGGTGAATCCATGTAGAGCCACATTTTAGCTGCAGAAAAAAATTATTTTACACCCACGATAGCGTATTCGCGAAAGTCATGGTATTCTTACTCACAGTCTAATTAATGGCTGAATTGCAACGTTCACCGAGCATCAGCCTGCAAACTGAAAAATCAGATCCCTTCCTGATGGCAGACTAGGAAATACCTTCCCATCCCTTTAAGGTAGCCACAGGACTTGACCTGGCCTTTGGAAATGCTGGCACTTGTCACCGCATCGCGCAGCAACCGTCAGATTTATACAGTTAAACTACTTTGCTTTAGCACATATAGGAATCACCCAGATTTGGGACTTGTCCAGTAATTTTCTTTCCAATTCACAAGGCAGACACGGGAAATAAAACCGCGATGCTGCTGTATATTCAAGTTGGATGATTAGTACAATTTCTTCTGTACAGTGCCGTGTAAATGTGAGTGGATATTTAGAGCATACCTCATTGCAGTTTTTCCATCTATTTTTTCCAAAGATGATTTGCTTACAGATGTGCATTACACACGTATGAGAAAACCTAAGCGGTAAAAGTTTTAAAAGCAACGCATCTTCTATTTTACATACCTAGGGATGAAAAAACAAAAGAGTTAATGAAACACTGGTGGCAATAAGCTCAGATTGGCCTGACCACAGGTGAAACGTACAGGCAAAATTGCTATAAATACAAAAGCACACGTTTTCTCTTTTGTATTTCCATATTT